GTTTGGCCACTATATAGACCCAGTTGGCGCCTATCATTTGTGTACTATTTGCGAATTTTTTTTATAGCTATCCACCCCATAGCTGCTGTCTGAGCGACGTCAAAGGCCCGAAGATTGACACTGGAACAACCAAAACTTCTGTAACCAAAGTAGACAGGATTTCATTGATAAAGTTACTTTTTTTATTTTCAAAGTTTAATTTTAAGTAATTGTCCTCAGGAAGTTGCTTAGAACTTTTGGTAGGCTACACTTATCTGATTATAGGAGAGAGATATTGTGTTAAACCTTCCTTCCACCCTTGAAGTAAGTCAATTATTTGAGGTAAGTTTACATTATTTTTTTAATTACTCAAAAACGCCTCGTTCGATTTTTATAAAATTTGGTATGTAGCTAGTTTAATTAAAGAAGCAGTGTTTAAAGAAAAAATTACACCAACTAAAATCATGGAAAGTTAAAAACCATTCTTATCATACCATAAATAACATTGTATCTTTTTTGAGGACCGCCCATGGTTCTCTCAATTCTTTTTATCGAAAGCTTCATTCATATATAACTAAAGTCTATTCAGATTTCATTTACGCTGCGTCAAAACAATTTCTTCCATCTAGCAACAGCTCACGTGACATTTTTTTGCGCTTCTATTGGTTAATCGGTCGTTTGTCATTTAGACGTCGCGCAAATATTTTTTGTCAGAGTCGAATTCAGTTCAATTTGGATAATTATAGACGGCGTTTTAGTAGCATTCACCGTGTTGGTTAGTTTGGACATTTTGTATGTTTGATTGATTATAATTCATTATATTATAGTTTAGATATACATATATTCTGTTATTTATTTGTTTTGTTTTTGTGGTTGTTGTTAGTTTGAACATGTTTTACTCTATTTTATGGACATTTAATTGACTATATTTTGTAATTGCTGCGTGACACTATGTCCTCCACAGATACAGCAGATAAAGTCCAGAAAAGTGTTTTTACTCCTTCTAAAAAGCGACTGATAAAGGGACATTTGGTCATCCGTACTAGAGAAATGGTTCTTAATATTTATAAGCATTAAATTTTATAGAACCCTAATATGTTGGTACATGAAGTTGAAAGGAGAGTTGTTGATAAAACAGGGATGTGCGCTATCGTTTTTAATGTTATGAAGGAGTATAGGCAGATTCATAATTCTGAACCATAAAGAAGGCTACGTTATAAACAAATAAGTGGTCTGTGGATGATTTTGGTAAAAATGCAATAAGGCGCAAAGTACATCAATTCTTCTTTAGAAATTAACTTCCAACAATTGATAAGGTTTTACAAAAAGTAAACGATGATCCATATTTGTCTACTTTTAAGCGAGCTACATTATACAAGCTTTTCAAAACCCTTAATTTTAAATTTAAAACTCGAGGAAAAAATAGTTTGCTTTTAGACAAAAATTAAATTGTTTCGTCCTTCGCCACCAAAAATAAAACGGTACAGAGAAGAAAAGCAAAAAATATATTATTTTGATGAGACTTGGATTAACGCAGGCCACACCAAATCAAAAGTATGTTTCGATATGTTGGTTTTTTCATCCAGACAAGCCTTTTTGGATGAACTTTTAACTGGTTTTAAAACCCATCAGGTATATGCGTAAAAACAGCTCATTATATGCCATATTGGAAGTGAAGAAGGCTTCGTCTCTAATGCACTTTATGTATTTGAGTTGAAAAATCCGGTGACTACCATGAAGAAATGTGTGGAGAATCGTTCAAAGAGTGGTTTTCAAACACTCTACCAAAATTAGAAAATAACTGCATTATTATTATTCGAGAAAGCTGGAAAAAATATCTACGACGTCTAAAAAAGGTGATATTTAAAAATGGCTATATGGGAAAAAAATTGAATTCGACTACCAAATGTTTAAGATCCAATTTCTAAAACTTGGTAAGCAACATAAACATTATGATAGGTATGTAATAGATGAAATGGCTAAGCAGCAAAACAACATAATACTTCACATGTCTCCGTATCATTGTGAACTTAACCCAATTGAATTAATCTAGGTTGACGTAGCAGATAAAAACTCAACATTTAAATCTGGAGACATTAAAATTCTTTTTGAAGAAGTAATACTATTAATTTCTCCAGAAAAATGTATCGACCATGTTCGCCAAAAAGTTGAAGGAAAAATGTGGGAGTTGGATAATATTATAGAGGTTCAGGTAGAACCACTTGTAATTTTGATTAATGAAGATAGCCTTTCAAGTCTAATTAATTTATCCGATTCAGAATAGTGCTAAGTCAAGTAAGGAAAATTGCTATAATACAGGGTACAAGTTGTCGAATCTAAATACTAGTAGACCAAGAACAATAAAGAACAAAAGTTATCAAAAATACAGAAGGTTTCTTTTTAAGATGCACAATTTTAAATCAAATACCAAATTCAAATACCAAATACCTCTTATATTTAAAGTTTTTTTAATGCTTTTAGTAGATATATATTAGCTATTAAAGAATTTGCATTTATTTGGACACCCTATACAATATAATTATATAATATGATTTTTTTAATGCTCTGTATCACAGTAGACATATATAATGAACTAAATATAATGCAACCATCTCTTTTAAAGTCAAATACATTTATTAATTTGTATTGCAGGTTAACGCAGTTTATGTCGCTCACCTATCTTCGTCCAGAAATGTCACTAAAGTCTGGGAGACCGTGTATATCACTTATTTTATAGGTTTACTTTATAAAATATGTTTTTATCGTAATAAAAAAAAATTCACAATTACACTCTTTTATTTTACATTTTTGCAAGACGGAAAAGTAAAATACGGCCCTGCTCAATTTTAGCGTCCACCTGCTTCTGTTTACATCAGGCGTAAATTAAATTTGAATAGACTTCAACACAATCCGAACACTGTCGCTTTCAACGTTATTACAATAGGTATCGACTGAAAAATAACAATTCAAACAAATGGTTAGAGACTTAAAATTTTCAAGAAAACTAAGTTGGCGGTTGTCAACATTACTTATAAAAAATATGACAATTTTGACAGATATGGTCAGAGCCGTAGCTAGGGCGCGGCAAAGGTGGCATTGGCCACGGGCGCACGATGGGCAAGGGCGCACGATAATGGGCCGCAACAGTTCAGCACCTTTGTTTTACATTACATCCGGCGGCGCTGGTGCCGGCTCTGTCTTAATCGTTCGCTCATTTTCGTTGCTTTTCACATATCTAAGCGTGCTCATAGACAAACCCTTCTTTTTACTCCATGGTGCAGTGTGATTTAGACTGCTTAAGGGGGCGTAAGCTTTGCTGCTCATTGCTCTTTTGACGTTCTTTAGGTAAGTGAATAGTATTTGTTTTTTTATAATTGTTGTTGTACAGTGACTGGAATAGTACATTTCGTAACAAGAGTTGTAAGTAACCCATTACGCACAAAGTGAAAAACTTTACGCACGAAGCCGCGCAGCTGCGTTATGGGCTTACAACTCGTGTAACGTACTATATTTTTTCTACGCCCACTTAAAACATTCTCAAAAAAGGATTTAAAGTTATGCTTGTGTCGCCAATCCATAAATTTTCGATAGGTAATTTCGTACCTTTCTTTGGATTTTAGCGGTAACAAATTATGTGTGGCAGCTTAAGCTTTTTCTAAAATCTCCGGTAGACGATCATAATTCCACCAGTTTCACTGCTAACAAACATATTCGAAGGTAAAGTTGAGAAAATGTTCGGATACAATCATAATTTGTTACAAAAATTGACAATATTAATGGCATGACGTTTATTCCGTAGCATGCTAAGAAACCGTGACATATTTTTTGAAATATTGTATATGTTGTATTCTATGTATATGTATTCTAGTTTTGTTTCATAAATATAAAATATTGTATAAATGTTTCTAAATATATCTGGAATATTAAAATAGCTTTTAAATGCAATATTACATTATGTAATATGTTTATTAGACCAAAAAAAGACATTTAAAAATATACATGTTTATTTAAAATACACAAAACAGAAACATTGATTCTTAAACAAACAAATAAATAAATACACAATTATTAAACACAATTTCATAAAATTTAGACGCAAATCACTTCATTTTTAATCAATTCCTTTAAAAATGCACTAACCTAAAATAAATAATAGGTACTTAAAAAAGAATTTTTACAAAACATAAAACTCCTCTTAGGAGCTTTTCAGAACTAATAAATAAAAGTAGGATATACAATAAATGTAGGTTATATTATGGTTTATATTTAGATAAAAATGACACTAAAATGACACATATTGATAAAAGAAATCTGGTCATCAGTCACAGTAACTGAGATAAAAGTAAACTAACCTAACTTACAAACTTTATTTCTGTAGGAAACTTACCTCAATTTCAATTAACATATTTTCTGTTTTCCATACAGCATAACGCACAAGCAACAAACAAAGAAACAAGTGAAATTAATATTTTTGAAATAAGATTTCTTTTTTTGTAATAATTGTAAAATTAATTTACTTTAATTTTAGTGTAAATTTAGTATTAAAAATTGTATTAGTGGGTACTATAATTGAGTTTTAACCTGTAAGTACCCCAAACTTTACAAATAAATAAAAATAAATAAATAAAAAAGCAAATGCAATTTTTAGAACATAGGGTTGTCTTTGGATATTTTCTACACTATGGATATAAGAACAAATAAAATTATAAAAAAAAATTACTACACCCAGCTACTTCTTCTTATAAATGAGAAATTCTTCACTATGTATTGGCCTTTTACAACATAACCCGTTTTATAACCTTTAAGTGTAACATTTATAATCTGTTTCAGAAATATTTTCAATGAAATATTTAACTAAAATCTTTCAGAAATATTACAGAAACTTGTGCTTAAAATGTTATGTGTTTCAAATATTTCGAAAATATTTCTGAAATAATGTGTGCTGTATGGTTATTTTTTTTTTGTTTTTTTGTTTTGATAAAAACATACAAAATATACAACTTTATTTTTTTATTTTTCAGAAATTCAAAAATGCCACCAAAAAATCTGTTTTACAAAATAAAAAAATACGAGAGCAACGAATTGCTGCTATTAAACGTAATACCGGCGATATTTTAAAATTTCATTTACCAATCGCTACTGCCATATCTGCCAGTTCGAGCTCAGCAGATAGTAAAGATGAAATGGTCGAAATACAAAACCAAGAAGAAAGCGAAAAAATAGTAAGAGGTAAATCTCTATTTTAGAATATAAATGAAGAATTAATAGAAAATGAAAATGTAGATCCTGAACCACAATTACCTAAACAGAAAATTGATAATATTGACTTCAATAATCCTAAGATATGGATTATTAACAAAGATACCGTTAAGATGTATATCGAACATGGCACTGATTTTGGTGATGATGTTACATTTTATCCAACAACAGAAAAAACAGAAAATTTGGAAATCAGTGGTTAATGAAAATAATGGCAAATGGCGAAAGAGTAGCCAGAAAATGGATTATATACTGCAAAGAGCTAGACTCAATTTTTTGCTTTCAATTTTGTAATAATAGAAATAGTGTTTGTGTAACCGGATTTAGAGAATGGAAACATCGGAATCCATTGTTGCCTCGTCACAAAAATCCGGTAAGCCACCGTGGAAATTATATCCGGCTAAAGACATTCGAAAAAAAATTGAACGAAGGTGGGTTATTGATGTTATTATGTGATTAAAATCAAATATTCTTTTTTGTTCAGAGAATATATTTTTAGTTATTTTACTTTTAGATAACTTATTTTACATTTTTAGTTTTTTTGTTCTTATGTCTGTTTTTATTAAAATGAAATATATATTTCATCAGCTTTTTAATTTAGGTTGGGAGAGGCGAAAAATTTGTGATTTTTCACAGGCGCCAACAAGTCTAGTTACGGCTCTGGATATAGTGTAGAACCCGAGAATAACGTGTAAGGGGTTTTCTCGCCACAGAGAAAACGATTCCTTACGAATGACGCTGGTTACGGGGGGTTCTCGAGCGCCAGATTTTTGGTGATGGTTTACTCCACGAACTTTCGAAACGGCGTCGAAAGTACTCGGGTAGCTACAGATGGAGATGAAAAATTCCAGGTCACTTAGACACAGGTAATAGTGTGCCACAAGTAACGGGCTTTAATCGTTACTTGGGCTGGTACAGAATTAATCACTAGCTGAAATATAAGGGGGAAATAAATTTAGGAATTAACAACCAGTAATACGGCAGGTTAACATTGACACATATATTGTGGTTAACTATTTACAATAAAAAAAAAGAAATTAAATATTTTAACGCCCACCCTTACGGTAATATGTACAAACCCTGAACAAAAATAAACAAACAAAACGGACGGAAATGACTTTTGAGTAGTCTCAATCAGACGTAAAGAAAAAAATGAAATCAATGCTTATAATTATCACGGTCGCAGTAAAAGTTTATTATTGAATTGTTTATTCTGTTGTTGAGTTGAAAATGCAATTTGCTATTTCATTCGGCAGTATTATTTCGGTCGTAGCAAAAATTAACTGTTAAATTTTCTAATTGGTATTTACAATCAAATGTAATTGAATGCTTCAGTAAAACAAAATATCATATTGGTTGCAGAGAATGCGAGGAGACAGGTTCGGGATAATACTAATTCCAGAGCTGAAACCGGGACCCTATAAGAGGTTTACTCACTAGTGGTTGGAAAGTAAAACCAACTAACAACCGGGATAGTACATTATCCCTGAGTGAACCGATCGTTATCACGAGCCGCTTCAAACTGGGGAATGATACTATTTAATGTCAATTGAATAACGGAGTTTTACATAAAACAAATTTAATAACCGGGATAGCACACTATCTCTGAATGAGGCGATCGTAATCACGAGCCGCTTCAGACAGGGGAATGATACTATTTTAGTTCTGTTGAAATAACGGAGACCTAACGCAAATGAATTTTTAGATATAGAATGAACTAATAGCCGGGATAACACCTTATCTCTGGATGAAACGTTCGTAATCACGAGCCGCTTCAAACTGGGAATGATGCTATTTATATTAATTCAGTTTTAATAAATTAAGAATATTTAGTTTTGCGTCGTTGTTGACAGACCGGTATCCTTTGGAGTGGGTATTTAAATTATTAACAATATAATCATCGAGAGAATTTGGACTACTCAGTTGTTTGTGTTCGTGTTCATTTTCCCTTTACAGGAAAAGGAAAACTATTTGCGTTATAATATACATAAGTTTAATTTTGTTTCTCTTTTTTACTATTAATATTTTTTTCAAAAAAAATATAGAGCATAATATATTAACTTGGGGTTAAAGGTGTTAAACGACATTCGTATTTTCTTTTATACAAATTATTACGTTACTTACTTGATATAAATATAAGCAAAATATAATTAATATTGGTTAAATAAATAAAAAAATATTTTGTGTAAGAAATATTTAAGGGAAAATCTGTGAGCTCCCCGCATGCGAGGAGTATAACCCCAATTAATAGAACAAGAGTTTTTTTTTTTTTTTTTTTTTTTTTTTGTATAAAGGATTATTAATTAATAAGTCCAAAAGGTTGCTTTTATATTTTAATAATTATTTGTTGATTTTAATACATACGCCATTGATATTGTAGATGATCAGTGATATTTTTCTCTCTTTTTAAAAAGGGAAAATTAAACGAAATTTAATTTGAAATATTCATATTTTTTTATTATTTCTTATTTTTTTTTTAATAATCAGGAACAATTTTAAAATACTAGGGAATTCCCACAACATAGGGAAGTTTTCTGACTTATCGCTCAAAGGCAGTTGCGCCTATAGGTATATTTTATTGAGATCTTTCGACATTTGTTTAACCCACACCAAACTCTCCGACTGACGGGTTGTTATATTTCATTAAGCTTTATTTATGCACACTCTTAAGATCGCCTTGTATTTTATCTTTCTGGTTAGTTCTTTAAATAATTACACATATTATTTAAATTTAAATTAGCGAAATATATTGTTCTAAATAAACGTTGCATATTTTTGTTTTTCATTTTAGGATTTATGGCTGGAACTCTTATTTTATTTCGCACGATTATAGAAAAAATTTGTTTGTTTGATGTTATTTAATATAGTTGTTTATTTAGAAAATGTATATTATGTTTATTGTTGTAACCAATAAAGATTCTACAAATAATATTTAGTTGTTACAATTTTGTATTATTTATTTTGCACTTCTTAAATTATTTAACATAAAATTTTACATTTTTATTTGCATTTTATAATACGCCTGGGATGCGTATTAAAAAAAATGCTATTAAAAATGTAAAATTCTTATATTTTGTCGAAGTAAATTCAAAAGCCCGCCAATTTTTAAACTAAAATAGCATTACATCTTTCTATATTACCGACTGAGTATTAATTTCACAAAACTATTCCATATGTCGCTGAAGGTAAACATGCTGCCAAATTTCTGTGAGGAATTTGCAACTCTTATTTATCCTTCCTCCATGATGGTAACTGTGTAAACCCCTACATCGGTCCAATTTCAAAGGACGTTCAAAAAATTGCAATGTTTAAATTTATTACATTCTGGAACTGAAAACTGCGAAACAGGTGGGAATGCTTTACTTGTAAGGCTGCATGAAATTCGTAGGACTAGTAAAGATGAGCCATTTTCCAAAATCGCGTGTAATGGTGGCAATGTTGTCGAAAATGTAAATATAAACAAGCATATTAATGAGTTGCATGCACAAAATATTAATATTTTTTAAGAAAATTTTATTATATATGCGGATTTTTAATAAAAAAATGTCTTAAAATTCACAGTTGCGACGTATGTACACAATATGCCTTACTACACGATGACTTGGATACAAGCTCCATGTATTATTATTATATACCATACAAAAAAAGGAAATGAAGATATTTTTGGCAATTTAAAAATGTCAAATAATAGGTTTGTATGTTCAATAACAAAAATTGAAATAATTTTTCAACAAAATTTTGAATTATTTATCACTAAATCCGGCGTTTGTAAATTTTTTTTAGATTTAATTAATTCCGAGATAACATTTGACGCTCCTTATCCCAGATTTCCAGAAATATATGTTATTAAGTTATATTTAAGTCTACTCATATATTACACTTTAAAAATATTAATACAAATTTTAAGACCATCAATAAAAACAAGCTAATTTTTTGGCGCAATCTGTAGAGCATACTGTCTTTCTTAATGCTGTCTTTATAAGTTAAATTAAAATATATTTTAAGTAAATTTTTACTTTTTTGTTTTAATACGATCCTGTCTATCAATACCTTATTTTATTACAAAATCTTTAAATACACTTTAATCCGACCCTGACTAAGACCCCCAAATGGCGTTGCCAAGGTCAAATTTTCTTAGTATAATATTTGTACGCAATCAGCGGCAAGTGAGCCTGCCGATTGTTTCTTATGCCGTGAAAAAGGTACATCCGATATCAAAGGCACCGACAGCTACTGTCGCTTCTCCTTGATCGTTATTCTCGGGTAGAACTGTAAAAATTGTCGTTACTACTATTTTATGTATTGTATTTTTTTGTTTCGCTTTAAAATTCTTATTAAGAAGTTATTTTGTGGCTGGTATGAAGTAGGTACACATTTAATTAACAAACTAATACGTTGCTAGTGCTTGCTTTTTGTAATGGCAACTGCCGTGAGAGTGTTCGAGTATACCATGAAATATTTCCAAATAGACAGATTCCGAATCACGAGACTATCAAAAGGTGACTTGAAAAAACTGGTTAACTGAAACCGAATAGAAATATTGGTTTGAAAAGCACATCCAATAGAATAATTATAAAACAACTTATTTATCCCTTTCACATTCAAAATCTCCTGGGAATCCTACCTTCCAATTATGAGTTTCGTTTGCATTTTGTACAAGTCATTCAGAGCGGCCGATCCAGTTTTTTACAGAAAAAATTTCTTTCAACTTTGAAGCTTCTTTCTGATATAGGTAATTTTAATATTATGGACTTATTTTGATCACACAAACATACAGTAGCTTTATGTACACAACATTTTGGGACACCCTGTATACAAACTTTAAAAGTATTTTTTATATAACTCCAGTAATTTAGGATTTGTTTCTTACTATATCTGGAGCATATATGGTGAATTTAAATAATAATGATAGTTACTACGTTTTTTATCAATAATCTTATAAAATTTGAATAAAGGCTTTGAATACACTGCACAACAGCATTTCTGATGATTGAGTTATATTACATGGCACTAGCTTAATTTTTAATGAAGACTTCAAATCTGTAATCTAAATTTCTGTATTAGCTCTAGTTTAGAAAATATGACACATGGCCGTTTCATAGTAAAACACAATTTGTTTAAAGTTAATCATATTTTATTTAGTTCTTAAGATGAAAAAACTTTCTTTTATAAGACTTTCTTGCAGATATTAAACCTATAGAAC